TCTGCTAGGAATGCATATCAGTTGTTGGACCAGCACTATCCACAGCAAGCACAGCTTTTGTACCAGGTTCGCAGCGCTTGCTCACTTACCGTAACCAACTAAATGGACCCGTTCAGAGCTTGGACCCGTCAAAGCAGCGTTCATTGTCGGGTGTGATGTCAGCAGCTTCATCATCGCAATCTATCAACAGCGAGCGTGATTCACTACATATGAGCCAAAGGCCGGGCGCGTATGGAATGAATCGGCCTAAAAGTGAGTTTACTATTTTACTGTAGGGGAAAAAAATTCTATCTTGTTGTTTAAGCTACAAACTTCTTTGCTGGTCGCTCGGCTTCGGAGATAGATGCGAATGCAGTTCGACGAGCAGCTGCGTTCACGCCAGCAAAGAGTAAGCTCACAGGATCAGTTGCTGCAAGAAACAGTCCAGGTTGGTTTCGAAATTTGTTGTTTTTTACGTCTTATTTACGTCAGCAAAACACCACTGATTCTTGACGTAACTTTCGTTAACGTGCCTTTGATTTTTGAGAGTCGGGGTGGATTCTTAATTACGTTACCTTACCATGTTTTTTCTTCATTTCGTAATTTTGCTTTTGATTCAACCTGCACACCTTTGGCAAAGAGATTATTCTGCCATAACCTTGCTGTTTAGCCATTGATGCTAGGGATCATAGACGAAATATGAAGTATGATGCGAACAGTGCAGATAAGCGGAAGTGTCTTTCGTCTTGGAGGTGTCGTATTTGCTCAAAGTTTAGTCATCCGATAATCGTTATCGTAATATACCAAGATGGGAAATTTTCTGTTCCATACCACCACTTGACTAGGCTAAGTCACCTATATGGGAAGGAAATGGTTTTGTCAAGTGGAAAGAAATGAATGCAAGAAATCATTAGACGGCATAACTAGATTAACACATTTTTCTATTTCTATAAGTCGATGTTTTTATTGTAAAAGAGCTGGCTTTTGTAAGCGCCGCTCACTTGATGTACGTCTTGTAGTCTTGTGATGAGCTGCTACTTCGTATTATGGACAATAACGCTCCTAGTACATAAAAAGTGGATGAGAGAGCACAGTAGGGGGTTCCTCAGTACGTAATTCAATCGTAATTAAGAATTTAATTGAATTCCAACGAGAGTCTTCTGTCGCACGGAATTTCAGGGGGGTTTGGTTATATGCCGCCTTGTATCGCATCTCATGTACACATAGACGGTTTCAGTTCGTCCATCAGTTGTCCGATCTGGCGTTCCTCCTTCCCGTCAGACTCCGTTAAGAGCGAGCAACTCTGTGAATCCGCCTGCTAGTGTATCTCAACGTAAGCTCAGATTTTTTTTTGCACTTGAACAATTCCTTATTTTCCTGGTCTCTTTCAGCTGGATCAAGAAGCACGTCACCCTCACGAACGGCTTCCAATCGTCGTGTTGGGGCAACACCATCTGCAACAACATCGAGCAGAGTAGGTAGCACGATAAGTCGTCCACGTCAAATTGGAACTAGGGAAGCAAGTCCCCGACGATGTGAGTCAGAATTAGTCTAATGTCGTGAAATATATTAGGTTGTTCGGAAAGGAATGCGCGTTTGAGCTCAAAAATTTTTTTATTATAAAAACGAAACTGAACAAGATCAATTCAAAAGATATTCTCCATTACTATCAATGACTTGTTGCCTACGTTTACCCAAAGAATGGATTCTTCTTCTGAAGAACTCGGCCGGCTGCGACTCAAAGTAGTTGGACACCCTGAGTTGGACTTTTTCGCGGTTTTTGAATTTTCTCTCGGCCAAGGAGTGCTGCATTGACCGGAACAAATGGTAATCGGATGGTGCGAGA